CCTTGCAAACCTTCCTTACGGGCTTTCTGCCTGGGCCTGGTAGACACCTAACTTTACGAACACCCGCTGCTGCTGCTGGTTGCCACAATACTGTCTGGGAACCTTGCTCCCTGTTTCCTGGGCTGGGCTGGCCATTGCCTGGGATAGCTGTGCAACCCCTCACTGTGTGGCCAGCTGGGTTTGTACAAGTGACAAGTGGGCTACAGAATGTCAGCCACGTTGCTCAGAGGAAGGACGTTCATGTTACCCAGGAGGCCTTGTTCTTTCAGCATGGATGCAATCACGCTCCTGAGAACACAATCCTCCTAGCCTTCTGGACAGACCACCAGGTGCAGAAAACCGGATCCTCTGAGGCTGAAGTGTAAAGGACTTATGTGCAGCTTTTTTGCAATCTGAGGCAGCTGGGACAGAACGTTAGAGCCACACATCTGCCTCAGCCAGGAGTGCGTTCCTACGGCATTCAAAGATGCCATAGCCTCTGAAATTGGGACTCACAATACTGTTGTTTCCAATGATTTATTCTTTCTTTTCTTTCTCTCCTAGCAGTGGTAAGACATGTCTATCTTGTGTGTGTGTGTGTGTGTGTGTGTGTGTGTGTGTGTGTGTGTGTGTGTTTTATTGCAGGGAACAGCAGGATGGAGCGCTATGCCAAGAGTGGCCCCTGCAGAGCTCTCTGTTAATGATGCTCATGGCTTGCACAAAGGAAGAAGTTTCAGGTGTGTGGATGGTTTGGTGCAAGGCCATCTCCACTGCTGGTGTGTGGCTCACAGGTTCCGTTTATGGTTACTCTCCCCTATGGGACTGGGTGTTCCTTGAAGACATGGTCTCTGTAATTTTTATCTTTACATTTCTGCTACATGGCCCCTAACTGGTGCTGACTAACTGCCTGGATGGAGGGATTCCAGGTGGTGTCTTCTCCATGCGTCTGAGGTGGGGGGCAAGTTGGTAAACTAGTGTGGCTGTTGCAAGGCAGCACATGTGTCAGGTGGTCTGAGAAGCAGCCTGGGCTGGAAGGGAAGATGTACCAAGAAAGCCTTTTGGGCCAGCTCCTCGCCCTGACCTTGCCACTTCTCAGCCATGTCCTTGTCTAAGTGAAGGAGGGGCTAGGGAAGATTTCTAAGGTACTCTGATGAGAGCCCTAGTACATCTGTTCATTTGCTCTTTCTCTCCCTGCTGCCTATGTTTTCTGCCCAACACAGCCTTCAGATTTGATCGTGATACACAGATTTATTCTTTATGTATTTTGGGGAATACAGCTTTCTCACAAGGCTCTGAGACATCATGTAGATATGAGCTGGAGGGACTGTCACACCCCAGCTCGTGGAGAACAGGTGCAGCAAACCCAATGAGAATGCACAAACCTCAGTCCTGGCATGGGTAGTGATGGTACCCAGGCCTGGCTCCTTGGCAAAGGGGGACAATGTTCTTCTCCATCTTGGACCTCCCGGCACCATGATAGAAGTCCACAGCTGGCCAGTGTTTGCCAGCATGGTAGTTGCTTGGAAGGGCATGTGATTCAAACTAGGCTAGTTATAGGGGATCTATATTAATTATGTCCAAAGGGAAATAGATGCTGAGAATTTGGGACCAAGTGAGGACAGAGGCTGTCTCATATCAATAGCCCTCAGTAGTGTTCTTACTGAAGTCTCAGTAGAAGAAGTAGAGGAAGAAGATGTGGAGTGCATAGGTTTTGAAGGAATGCACAGGCCCTGTGGTTTAAGATCTTGAGGTGGAGGAATAATAGATTCTTTAATATGTCTACAATGCCAGGCTCCTGGGAACAAAGATCTGGGAAAAGGAAATGACCACAATGTGCAGGATGAGTGAAATGATTCTTAGCTGAAGGCCTTAAAAGAAGGAAATCCTTTTTTTTTTTTCATTGTTGAAACTAAAAGGCTTCTTATAAAGGCCCCACTACAGAAGGCAGAGAATCTTACCTCTGTCAAGGATTGTAAATGCAATAGACTGCTCAGCCAGGTAGGGCGCATTCATGGGTGAGAACTGCAGGCTGTGTGGGCCTTGACTGAGTACTCTCCTTATCTTGGACTGGCTTCGCCCCACTAGGCCTGTGGGAGGAAGATAGGAAGAGCTAGTCCCAGGTTACACTACACATATCACTGGAACCTCATGTGTACGTGGCTTTGCAGGCACACCCTCTGCTACCGCTTTCTCTAGTACGCTTTCTTTTGAACTGTCCCAGTCCCCCCACCATGCTAAATCTATGAGTTAATCTCCAGTCAGTGTCACCCTCACCAAGTGGGTTTTCTTGCCTTGTGTCTCTAGGAGTCTTAAGTGTATTTACCCCCCCCCCACACACACCCACACACACACATCAACCAGACTGTAGCATGTTTAAGGGTGTGGGTATATGTCATTCTTTCACTATAACACCCAGGCCAGAGCAGTCTAGTGAGGGCTCGAGGGCTCCTATACCTCTCTTTGTTGGTGGCTCCGGCAGCTTTGCGGGCCTGGGATTCTCCCTGCAAAGGCCATCTCCACACAAACTAGGGACTTGGTTTAAACACATTACCCCAAATCTGAAGCGAATACTGGACCCAAAAAGTCTAGAGGCGGTTGGAGCCCCAGACTTTCCAAGTTTGGCTATAGAATTACATGATTTACAGAAATGCAAGAATGTTTAGCTTTTGCTGCTCAGAGCTCCCGATACCCAGTTATTTGTTTTTTTTACACATGTTCTTTATTAGAAGATGAAACATGGCAATTAGGAGATGACCTGGATTGTTCTGCATTTAGGAGTTTTCACATACCCACTTGGTAATTTCGTGTCTGTACAGCTTGAGTACAGCATCCTCAAAGAGCCTTGTTTGGATTTGTCTGGATAATATCTTCCAGTTCAGTGTAACTGCTAGAACAGTAAGAAAATCCTTGGCAAAAATCAGATCTATTAGCCTTGCTGTTCACACCTGCAGTTTCTCTCCACCCAGGTGTAGGGTTAACGCAAGCACCTCAGGTATTTGCAGGGTTTCTTTAGGAAAAATAAGAAAAACCCAAGATGCCTAATCAGAAATTACCTTACTGGTAGTAAGACCCAAATGCGCGAGAACATGTAAAAATAGATTTCTTTGAAATGCCAGGGAAGAGATTTGGAAGCATTTTGGCAGATTGCAATGCACGGACAAACCTGCGCCAGGTTCTTCTTACGTTAATAAATATTCATTTTGCTTTTTGGGGGAGAGTCCAAGTTCTAGGCAGAGAGTTCTTGTCGGAGAAGTAAGATCTATTTCTATAGCAAGAATTTTGGATTCTTCAGTACCAGGTATTCTTTTCTAAAAATGTAACTCTTTCCTAACAATTCATACCTCCAGCGGGATAGCTGCTTCAAGAGACAGGTTCAGCTGCAGGCGTTCCTGCTCTGTGCAGCTAAGCAAAGCCAGGTATAAAAATGGTGCTCTTTCCCCTCCTCAGCCACCTCTATTTTTGACACGCAGAAAAAGCTTCATTCAATATTGATTGTGCTTTGATACATTAAAATCAAGAGCAAGTCAGGAATCTTATATAAAATGTATATAGATGTCAGTTTTCCCCCTGGTTTTACCATTTTTTGACCAGAAGAGTCAATATTTTAAAGGGATTTCATTTCCCTTTAAAGCCTGCAGGCAGTCTAATTCTCACAGAAATGCATGGCCAGTTGGTACTGAAATGGTTCCTCCCAAGATGTCTGTGGCGAGGATGTTATTATTATTTTTAAAACCTATTTTCCACTCCTGTTCAATTTAGCAAATGTGGGGCTCGAAAAACCTCAAAATAATTTTCCTTTCATGTGGCAGAGAGTAACACTGTTTGTAGTACGTAAAAAAAAAAAAAGTGCATCACCATTCTAACACGTATTTTAAACTGAACCAGCAGCTATATTCCAAATAATATATTTCGCTTAAATGTATTTGAAAGACAAAAAGGAAAGGGAGACGGAGGAGAGAGAGTGAGCAAGAGGAGAGATGGAGAGAAGAGAGACGCAGAGAGAAAGAGGAGAGAGAGAGACCTTAGCTGCAGTTGTATCCAGAGTTGGGGCACAAATTGTTCTTTCATTCCTTTGCATGATTTCGATAAAATTAGGTCAAAGAAATGTTCATTTGAAAACAGTGCTTTGTCATATTATCTACAACACATGTCTAGCAAATTTATGAATCCAGCATTCATCTGCGTGAAGTTCCAAATCCTAATGAATGGTTTAGACAGCATTGTCATCAATTTTCCGCAGGTGCAGCTGAGGCAATCAGTCAATTCAATCAAAAGCCTCCGTCAACTTGCGTGGCGCTGTCATTTTTTACATTCGCATTGCTGAAATTAACAAAAACGATCGCTCCTTGAATGCCTTTACCGCCTCTCGCCTTTGGGTGGCGCTTTTGAGCAACGCTTTGCCGCCAGCCGCGCCGCAGATCTCGCAGCATTTTTTTTTTTTTAAACTTTATACTAACATAATATTTCTTTTGTGATATTACGGAGATAAAATTGCACTGTGTGTTTTAACACACATTACAACAACCTCTTAAGGCAAAAAAGTAAGTTCATGCAAATGAGTTATAGAAAGTGAAAAGGTTTATTCGGTGCCCTGCACCGTAGTAAGACCCTGCTGAGAGACTGGTAGGATTTTGGCAGGTGTCAGATTCTCAACTTCCTTGCCTTGCCCCAGTCAGCCTCTGCGGTAGATTGCAGTTCGGGTTCTCATCTTTGGAGCTACTGCTTTAAGATTTGAGAACCAGGCCGTCTGGTTCCTTCACCCCTGGGTTTACCTTTCATTAGCTTCCGATGGGCTTCGGAAATCATCTTCGGCTGGGCTTTATTGGTATTGAGAGAGTCACCTTTATTACAATCCGGGTGATGAGAATTATATTCCTACCACCGCAACTACCGAGTGATTTCTCTTCAAAGAGTTAACAACTGCTTCAAACCCTGCCACTTACCTAAAAAGACTCGGGAAAGTCATAAGAAGGAAAAGCTTTATCTCATTGAAAAATAATCTCATTTCCCAAACTCTATAGTTTAAGGATTTCGACATTACCAGCCATGTAAAGAGAAAACTGCACAAGATACTCTGCCTATGCCAAAGACGAACGTGCCTGCTTTTCCTCGCCTAAGAACTCTACCAGGTGCTTCTAAATCTTTAAAATATATGGACAGACGGAAAGCACTTAGCATCGGTTCCTCCATGATGAATAGAGTTAACCTTTGTAGTTTGCCAAAAGTCAGTAAGTTTTTCTTTCCCATTTGTTTCAGTAGAATCGGGAGCAGAAATGCAGGGAGGACCAGATCAAGCTACAGTGTCGTGGCCTTTTTGCTTAACGACTGCAGTCCGACTGTTCCCAGCAGCCGCCAGAAGAAACATGCTAATATTAACTTATTGAAATGATTGAGCTACTTGCAGTGACAGAAACACTTGAATTTATTAAACTGGCTTTAAAAATATTTAGGTGCCTTTCATCTGCAGATAGCACAAATAGTCTATTACCCCAACATTTTCTGAGGCTACATTTAAAAAAAAAATGCAGGGGATTTCTGGAAGAATGCAAATTCCAGGGAATATAATAAAAATGTACTTTTTAATAACTAGTTGTGTCACTTTGCAAATAGCTTTGATGTAGCACTTCTGCCTGCATAAAGTTGAAGCTACATCTGTGTCATCCGTACCTGCGTTTATGATACCTTCCCTGAGAGAGCAATTAGGGGCTGGTGAGGGCTGGAGTTCTAGCTAATATTTGAAACTACATGTGCGTCTGCAGCTAAAGGGGGAAAAAGGGCTGTGATCATCTGTGAATAGAGAAGAGAATTCTAACAGCTCCCACCTTTTAGACACTTGATAAAAAATGCAGTTGGGGGTGCCTGCAGGGTCTCAAGGGGGTGGCTTTTCCGCTGAGAGATGAAGACTGCCGCATAGCAGCCAGCGGGCTTGCTGTAGGAAGCCTACGATCGAGTTCTCTTCGGTGGAGTTTGAAGCTAAATGGTCCTGTCTGTTTCTTTTCTTGTTTGTGTCACTTGTTAAAGATCCTTTGAAATGCACCATTACAGTTTCCTTTTAGTTTATTACAACCGAACTAAACTAGTCATCTTGCACCTCAGCTACCCCTAATTTCCTATGAAGTCCTATGGAATAGATCTTTTCTTTTCTTATTACCCGGATACAAAAACATTTGACTTGCTATCACTCTTAAGGCAGGTCTTATAGTAAAAGGTGAAAGTAAACCAAGTGTCCACAAATCAAACAAATAGATGCACGCACAAGAATCAGCATTACCTACAGTTAAAAATGTATGTAGCCTTAAAAGGGATGCTTTATGTTATATGTGTGCTTTTTACTGTGATGTTTTCCATGAGGCCGCTCTCTGTTTTACAGAGAAGGCAACTATTTCCACGTTTATTCTCTTTCAATCCAAAAGAGAATTTCTTTGTTGTTGTTGTTGTTTTCTTTCTAAAAGGAAAGAAATTAGCATTGTTTTTTCCCCTATGAATATATGTGGTGAAAAGACTGCAGCGTGTTTTGACTAAGCATGCAAAATGTTTTATTAATCAGAGCAATAGAGTAGAAATGAAAGCGCTACATCTTTAAGGGTCTCAGCATCCAGGTACATGGGGAGATTCGCAAAACCGTTGACCAAGCACAATGTTCGTAGACAAATGTCTTCTCATTGTGTGATGTGTGAAGGCCATGATAGATGGCTTCTAACAACAAAGCGTGGCCACGGAGACAAAATTAGTGTTGTTTTAATTACCAGTGTCTGTAATGTTATCTATCCATAACTGCCTGAAATAGACCGTCACAGAGGGTCAGAAGACGACCTGGGCTTATACACGCACGCATAGGTCTTATGGGTTCCACTGTCACTGCAATGTGCTTAAAAGAACAAGAAAGAAAACTTTAGTGCTTCACTTGAAACATTTACTTATAGCCAAAAAAAAAAAAAAAAAAGTTCCTTTTTAAGAGAAATGCCTTGATCTTTTTTTTTTTTTTCCTCTCCATGCGAAGAAACAAGCAGATCTTATTAAATGCTATTGGGAGGTCAGAGTAATGGGGAGGAAATGGAACTAGCCTTGACATTCTTCACCGAAAGTTTACACTCTCGGAGCGGTGGTTTTTGTCAGTCACAAATAGCATTATGACACTAATAGGAAGGGAGATTCTTTATTTTTGAAACCTCCTTGAGCTGAGATGGGCTGCTCTTCAGACATTACTAAGTGTGTATATTGTGAAGATGAAGTATCCCTTACTTTCTGAGCTTGCGGGAGATGAAAGATAGGCCAGCTTTTGAAAATGGCCTGCGTGGCACATGCTATAAATGAGCAGGGAAAGCAATCGAGCTAATAGATTACAGTAATTATCCAATCTTTGGCTAGTTTGTATTGGCAAACTATAAATACAGTACACATTAGAACAAGGTGCTTACAGAATGTACATGAAAGGTCATTGTAATTTGCAAGTCGCTAGTCATTAGAATATGCTAAAAACCATTGCTTCAGGGCTCAGATTTTAATGATGAATACATTGATTATTAAGTAGCAGAGGAAAAATGTACAAGAGCTGCTGTGGTGTAATGATAGGTCGCTTTATTTTGGGAAGGAAATCAACTCAGCTTCAGAATGCATGCATTGAGGAATATAATTGCAGGGAGGAAAATTCCTCAGAGGAGCTTGGCACATATTAAAAGCAAAAACTTGAGACATGTTTGTGATAAGATTACTAATAAATCTCTGGTAAGTCTTAGACTCCTGACAATAATACAGCAACAGAGTACTTCATCTTCTCCCAGCTTTAGAATTTAAGATCAGTCACAAACAATCTAAATTACGACTGATACTAGGCAGATGCAGTACTGGACGATGTTGCTCGTCATAAATCTCTCGTTCCTTATATGCAAATTAAACTCTATTTTAAAAGATAATTTTTCACATGGCGATCGCCTTTATTTGTGAAATGCTGGTGATTTTTAATAGGGAGAGAAAAAGCCAGGCTCCGGATCCTGGGATGATTTCGTGCAAGAAGGGCGGCAGGAGCCTGGGATGCGGATGTGTTAGGTGGGGGCTGGTCCACTGACTTGAGAGAGAAGTTTGGGACAAAGTTGGGCTCAAACACAGCCTTCTGGTGCCCAACAGCTGTTTTGGCCACTGGCTTTGATGAGGGTGTGTGTGTCCTGGATTCTATCCAAGCTACCAGGCTTTCTGACTTACATTTCAGAGTGGAGAGCCTCTTCCTGTTTGTTCTGGGAAGGAGGCACTTTCTCTGCTGCCACCTACCCCTCCCCCAACCCGCCCTCATCCATGCCTGCTCTGGGGTGACACCCTGCACACTGGGTCACAGCTCCATGGAAACCCAAGCAGTTCCCCCACTGGCTTTCCTAAACACTTTTTCCCAAAGGAAGTCAACGGGGGAAATGACGCTGTGGTCCTGAGCAGGGTCTTTCTCTTTCTTTCCTTCTTTCTTTCTTTCTTTCTTTCTTTCTTTCTTTCTTTCTTTCTTTCTTCCTTCCTTCCTTCCTTCCTTCCTTCCTTCCAGTCTTTCTATCTTTCTTTCTTTCTTTCTTTTTTGTGTTTTGCGGCAGCTTACATCTGTAAGATAGAGGTGGGCTGGCTTGTTTCTCATTACAGTCTGTACTCATGAAATGTTTGTCTCTCAAGCACTGGATTTTTATAGCAGGCCTGTTGGTGGGAAACTTGGAAAGAATAAAAAGAATTTTAAGAGAGTGGGAAGCGCCTGCCCTTTCAGAAACCCATCATTCCGCTACATCACCCTGGAGCTCCAAGTTCATAGGAAATGCTCAGCCTCATTTTGGAGCCAAGAGGCAGTGAGACCCAGGTGTGCTGAAGACTTTAGGGATGGTGATGCTGGCTGGCATATATCTGGCAAAGGTACAACACAGGGATGTTTCACTACCCTGCTGGCTCACTGGGGTGGCTTGGTGGCAGGTTGCTGGGAACAATTTCATTATTTACATACCTCCAGGACCAAGGGGCAAGATGGTCAGTGTGGTCCCTGATGGGCTGCAGCACCGCCCGGGAAATCTGGGTCCAATCAGAAGTTGGCAAGTCCTTGCTTTTCCCTTGTGTTGTTAGGATGGGACTCCCACTTATTTTCCATTGTTTTCTTGGAAATACGTTGGCAGTCCCAGGGAAGCGTTGTGAAGTCTGCATTTGTACATCTCTTTGTCTTTCTGTTTTTCTACTCCATGCCCTGTACACACACACACACACACACACACACACACACACACACACACACTTTCTCTTTCTTCAAATTAACAGACTTAAAACAAAAACCAAGAGCTCGCTGATCAATGCTGACAAAACCCTTTCTGTGAGTAAGGGACTAGTGGCTCCTTAGGGGCGAATGCCTGGAAAGCCAGGTGGTACAGTCTGTCCCTCTGGGTCCCATGTAGCTCATCATTTCATCAGCCTGTGCATTAAGGGGCAACACCACACAAGGGTGAGAATATAAATATGCTTTACAGTGCTCAGCTCCCTATCACAAGAATACTTCCTGAGTGGATGTAAATTTACAACAGGTGCTTATCAAATGTGAAAATGCTTGCAAATCAGAAACAAACTTTAGGGCTGGGAACATATTTCAGGGATGGCTTTTGCAAGGGCTGTGCTCACTCCTGAGCAATAACATTGTTCCTCTTTAGTTTCTACCTGAAGTGTCTTTCCAGGGTTCGCCAGAGGGAGAATGATGATAACTGAGCTTCTGACTCTGGTGTTGAGATGCAGAGTTCCTTAATGAAATCTGTATTTACCACCGGGGCACAAACACAGCTTATGTGCCCTAATTCATAGGAGGAATCTTTACTTTCAGAAGAACTAATATTTTCATTAATTGTGTGCCTGTACCAGAAGGCAGGCATCCTTTAACCATCTTTCAGAGTAACTGCACCTGGGAAAAATGTTTTTCAAATCTCCCATTCCGGATGATTAAAATGTGCTGTATTCTTAAAATTAGGGGTTTGCTTCCTTTCCTGGTAAACAGTGAATTCTCACTGTAATTGAAAAATGTGCATTTCTCCTAAATCACACTTTTCCTCCCCAGCTTTTATATAGCCCCTCTCTTTTGCCCCCCAAATCTTTAAGGTTTGCTTGCAAGATGTACTTGTTGTGCAGGGAGTAATTAGCCTGTTACAGAGATATTAATTAACATGTTGGAAATGTTTTCTTTATTAATGAGAAATTCACACATTCTACTTAAATTAATTTGTATGGTTTAAAATTAATTTATCGTGGCCTTTGATGACCTCAAATCTACTAAGACAAAACTGGAGTATTGTACTAACTGTTAAACCATTCATTAAACATTTTATGCAAATAGTGTTTGTTTATAAACAAATTAACTGCAAGGATTTTCAAAACAGGTGCTGTGTTGTGAATGCGTACTAAATGATGTGGTACTGAAAGAATTAATTAGACCTTCAGATGTAATTAGTTGCAATAATTTGCGTGATTAGCGGCTTGGTTAAGAAGTAAGACACACACATTGTAATGCATGGGAGAGTCACTGCAGTAGCTT